CAAATAAATTTGGTGCAAATTAACCATACCTGGCACTGGCAGGGTAAGTACAACCATTTGAGCCTGTAAAAACACAATGGAATTAAAAAAAGTTACCACCTTTAAACTTTAATTTTTAATCTAATTAATTTATACCCAAAAAATTCAACCAAAAAGCTAAAAAAATTAAACCCAAAAGAGAAGGATTGGGGGACTTACTAGGATCGGAGGTAGTAGGGGTTGCAGCGCCAGAAAAGTCACAAGTACCGGTGGATTGGCCCTTCTTCTGGAAAAAGCTGTTGACGGCGTAGCTGCAGTGAGCTTTGACAGTGTTGGGGTTGTAGCAAACTCCATTGGGTTTTATGGGGTTGCAATCTGCCCCGGCTCCACAGGCATAGTCCAGTGCCTTCTGCAGGGCTGCAGGGTCTCCATCTTTGCAAACACACCAGTTTGCTCCTGCACAAATACAATTCCCACAAATAAATAAATCAGACTCAAAATATTAAAAGGGGTGAGTTTATATATGGTAGGAAGACCAAAGACCAGATCTTTTTTTCTTTTTATTTGAAACGCCAAAAATGCAAACTTTAAGAGAAATATGAAATCTTATAACATAAATACAAGTTAGAAATTAGAAACAAACAAGGAAAAATAAACACATTACCACTAAGGAAAAATGGCATTGTTTAAAAAACTAAAATAGTTTATTGGCTTCATTAGATAAGTAAAATATAGGAAATATGGCAGAGAAAAAATACCCATTTCACCAAAAAAAGATATATGCATGCATGGAAAATACATAAATGTGTTCTTACTTGACTGGCCAGCCATGGCTAAGAGAAGCAGAGCTGCAAAAGCAAGGGCAGCCATTTCTGAAGAGAGAGAGCGTAGTGTGTGGTAAGTTAACAGTGGAGCTCGAAGCAATCTAGCTACTTCTGAAGTGACAGAGAGAAAGGGAGAGAGTGAGACAAGGAGAGGTGGGATGAGGGTGTGTGAGAGAAAAGAGGAAACATGGGTATATCTCTAGAAACACAAAACCAAAATATAAAATATAAAAACGGAAAAAACTAGGTGATGTTGACGGTGCGGTGATAGTGGCTCTGTGTGTAGTGTCGGCTCGCGGGTGCTTTTTCTTTTAGGAAAATTAATGGGAAAATTTTAAAGAATAAAATAAAATGTAAAGAAAATAGTATTAAGATTGACTTTTTAATGTAAAAATGTGATTTTTCATTAAAGTAAACAGTACCGGAAGCTTTTCATTAAAGTTCTTTTTTCTTTTTTGAATTTTAACGAAAAACTTCCGATACTGTTCATTTTAAACGAAAAATTATATTTTTACATTAAGAACATCTCCAACCGATGCCTAGCCAGAGGACTCGTTTTAGCCCTCTGACCTTTTAAGATTCTCAAAGATATTAATATTTTAATGAACAGTACATGATCATATTTGCCTCCGTCTCCAACTGAGGGCCAAAGGATCATAAGGCCAAACATAATTTATTATTTAAATTTAAAAACTACAACAATTTAAATTCAAATCCAACAACTTAAATTTAAAAACTACAACGATAACTGGCCCAAAAAATCAAAAAAATTAGAACTAAAATTTAATGAATGGTTTAGCTATTTATAGGAAAAAAAATTAGAATTTTTAAGAATTTAAAAAAAATTGAATACAATGGCAAACTGACTAGCCATTGTATTCAATTTTTTTTTTTTAAGCAATCATGTCGATTATAACCGACAGAAATACATTTAATTTTTAATATAAATATATTCCTATAACCGAGAAGAATGCTATATTTTCTAGCCAGCCCTCTAACCCTCTCCGATTCCATGGGGCTCTCTCAGATTCCACAGCCCTCTGGCCTAGCCCTCGGTTGGAGACGGTTTTCAGGCTATTTTCGGCCATCTGGCCCTCTGGACCCTTCGATTGGAGTTGGCCTAAAAAGTCAATCCTAGTACTATTCGCTTTACTTTTTATTTTATCCTTATCTTTAAAACTCAAAATTTTAAAAAATTTCCATTAGTTTTCCTTTTATTTTTTTTCCGTTACATGAACAGTTTTTTTTATACTTATTTTGAATTACATCTCTTCGACCTATTTTATTTTTTTTATTGTAACTCAAAAATTGTTATTTTATTCTTTAAAACTTAACTTCATTTTACTGTGCCTCTTAAAATTTGATTTTAATTCTGGTTTATTTCTTGAAATTTGAAATTCGTCTTTATAAAACTTAAAATTCGCAGCACATTACATTAGATATATTAGTTTCTTATATGGGTTTGATTTGGGTGAGCCGGACGAATCAATTTCCTTTAGTTTTTTCATCTATTCAATTTCTTTTAAACTTAATATTATCTGATTATTGAATAATTACGGATAATCAAATTTATTGCACATGTGACATAATCTTATTGAATGTTGGCTCACATATATGTTTTAGAAGGCGATCTATAAGTTTTAAGGAGAAGAGGGAGTCAACAAGTCAAAGTGATGACTTTAAGTTACAAGATAAAATGAAATTAAAATGAAGTTCTAAAAACCGTAGCTAAAACTAAACTCTTTTTACCTAAAGTAACTTATCTTTACGTTCATATGTCACTGTGTCGTAATGTTCTATATTATGGAAACGAAACTATACGTACTTGTAATGAAGTCCTTAACTATTTTTACCCCTTGTCAAAATACACACCGCATTCATTTCTTCGTCATCAGTTTATACATCATCTTTTTGTAATGTAGTAATGTGGTGTGGACCATCTCATTCATGTGTCACGTACGGTGGCAAAAGAAAGTGAGAGGGAAGGATTAAAGGATCAATTTTCTTTTATTTTTAATATAAGCGAATTTGTACTCTAATTTTCTACTAATTTATATTAAAAAGGAGAAGAAATTGTAAACAAATTTTATTTTTATTTGTCTAGGTAATAAAATGTTCAATTCCGATCGATTCTTTTTCTTTTATCATTGTCTTCCAGTGCCCATGCGTCTGTTGCGTACTAATGTTTTTGACAGGTTAGTGCAGAACAGATCTGAGGATCTCGAAGACAGTGTGGAGCCAACGATGATGGGTTCAATGGCACCCAATTGTGTTCTCAACAACGCTAGAGATCAGACGGATTTAAGTAATTTATTATATTTTGTATAATAACTACCTATTTATACTTACAAAATATACATAAGAAGCTGTCAATTTTTTCTTTAAACTTTAATTTTAGCTTATTACGCCTTTGAAATTTTATAATTAGTAGTTTCTCCCTTAACTTTAGTTTTAACTGATCACATGTTCAACTTTTATAATTGGCCAATTATAAAAGTTAAAAGATGAAACTGGCTAGCTATAAAAACTTAGGGAAAAATCGTATTTTGCTTCCAAGATTAACAAAATTGATCATTTTTGGTAATTTCCCTAAAATTTCTAGATGGTCTGTAATTTTCATTTTGTTTCAAAGTAACGGAGTTATTTAACATAACAATAAACCCCAAAATACTATTTGCGGCTTTCCTTCCCGAAACTTGTATGGAGCTGCCATTTTTCTCTCTAAACTTTAATTTTAGCTCATTACCCCAGTGAACTTTTATAATTGGTCAGTTTCTCCCTGAACTTTAGTTTTAATTGAACTCTCACCTTTTATAATTGGCTAATTCCCCCGCCTAAATCATAAACGCTAAAAGTGAAACAAAAAATGTACGGAGTGAACCAGCGGGAAAGAAGAAAATTAAAAAAAAATTGTGTTGGTCACATTAAGGATAATTTTATATTTTTACAATTATAAAATTGAAGTTTAGGGTAAATTACATAAAACAACCTCAACTATTGGGTCATTAACAGTTTCATACCTCGTCTTTAAAATGTTTCAATGTCATACCTTATCTTCGAATTTGTTGCAATGTTATACCTTCCGTCAGTTGTCTATCAATTCCTCTGTTAAATGCTGATGTGGTTTGAGGCGGGGCCCATTTTCTATTAAAAAATTAGTAAAATATTATTAAAATAATAATTTACCCAAAATAAAAACCCCAACACCATCTTCCCCGACCCCCCTTCCTTGCAATCCAAATCCAAAACCACTTCCACCCATGTCATCATCCTCCCCATCCTCCTCCTATCCAACACCCAAACCCAAATCCTCAAACCCTAATTGCACCTTCCTCTGCAAGCACTCGCCGTTGACCACCCTCGACCTCCTTATCCCCATTCTTGTCCTCTTCTCCGGGGCCACCCCGTTTTCCTTGCCTTGCTCCTGATACTCCGGCGCCATGTAACCGCGCTTGGGTTGCAACAAGGTAGACATAGCTCCAGAGAGGGAGGCGGCGATGAGGTTGATGAGTCTGGAGTAGTGGGAGGGTGGGTGCAAGGAGGTGGAGGATGGGTGCGCAGTGGGTTTGGGGAAGACGGGAAGGGGAAGAAAGAGGTGGGTTTGGGGAAGATGGGATATAGGTTGCAGGGAAGGGGGGTCAGGGAAGATGGTGTTTGGGGTGCGGAGGGTGGAGGATGGGTGCGGAGAATGAGGTGGAGGATGGGTGCGTGGTGGGTTTAGGGAAGACAGGAGGGGGAAGAAATGGGTGGGTTGCAGGGAAGTGGGGTCGGGAAAGACGGTGTTTAGGTTTTTTTTTTTTTTTTGGTAAATTATTATTTTATTATTTTTTAATAGAAAATGTGTCCCGCCTCAAGTCGCATTAGTTTTTAACAGAGAAATTGACAAACAACTGATGGAAAAGTATGACATTGCAACAAATTCAAAGATAAGGTATGACATTGAAACTTTTTAAAGACAAGGTATAAAACTGTTAATGACTCAATAGTTAAGGTAGTTTTATGTAATTTACCCTAAAGTTTACGATAAAATTGCCCAATTATAAAAGTTAAAAGATAAGATTGATTAGTTATAAAAGTTTAGGAGAAGTTGGCAGCTCCTTACAAATTCGGGGGATCGAAACAATTGTAGTATTCCATATTGCGAGAATTAAAAGGAGTGCAGTATGACTATTTTGGAGTGCTATTAGGTACAATACGGCGATTAACACTCAAATCATATTTATATGGGAACCTCTACCTACTTGCAAAACTCAACATTTATCTGTTCAAGTTATTTACAAAGTATACAAAAGGTCAGCCTTCTTTCTGCTGAACTTACACATTCACAAGTTACCGATGGTCCGACGGACTAATCCCAATCGGCGTCAAAGAATCCAGCATCCTTCATCTCCGAGTAATACGCGTTCTCCAGGAGAAAACTTTCTTCCTGTAAACATCACAACGTAGGTTTGCAATTGCACGATAATTACTTACGGCACAAGTCATTGAAAACCCAGAAATGCTGTTTAACCATTATTGAGAAGAATGATCACCTGGAAAAAATCGGCCACAAAAATCACGTACAGAGAAGGAAGATAGAGTGTGTGGTAGCATATATCTGTCAAATTGTACAACCTGCAGGATATGCACAAATTCAAAGTTAAAATTGCAAGAATTTGAGCTAATGAATGTATCATAGTTCTAAATTTGAACTTAATTTTGAGTACCAGATTCCGAAACTAGCTCCAATTCCAGCAAGCCCGCAACCAAACGATGCCAGAGCACTAAGTACAAACATTACGACGATGTAGTTGTAGAATGCTGGTCTGGCTGCAGAAGATTAGAAGATAACCGCACATTAGATTTATAAAAATTCCGGCAAAAGCAGTAAAAGCGGAATTAGAAATGTACTCACGAGGTAACTTCTCTGTCAATTTTGAGAAATGCACAAACAATATGAATCCATGAAGTGCAGTAAGCAATAATTTGTGGATGAGCCACAAGCCCCACTTCACTCCAAATGTACTTCCGATGCCAACGATGAACAGTGGTACCCCAAACCCGAACACATAGATTACCTGAAAATGAATTTTGCAACGAAAACAATTGTTGTGAAACATTATGACGATGTAGAACAAACCCGAATGCATACAATTACAAAAACAGTTGTCGTAAAACATTTACCAAACGCTAGACTTGTTCATTGATCAAAACCGATTATGTGCTAGAAGAAAAGCACCAAACGCTAGACTTCTTCAATGTGCTAAAAGAAAAGCACTGGACTTTGACAGTGGCCGAAGCAGCAGGTGATCGGTCAATTGCTTACTCTGCCTCTACAGACATAACATCTATATGCTCAAAGGTAACAAAATGGATTTCGCAACGAAATTCTAGCACACTATTAACAGAAATTGCATTTCATATACCAGGAAAACTGAAATCGAAATGGTTGATTCTTCGTCAATGTAACGAAAGGGCGATTACACTGATTAGTGATTAGTGATTACATTGATCAATGTATCGACACCAACAACAATCCCAGAAACAAGGAAAGTATGAGCTAAAGCTTTAACCCCACTTGCATAATTCCCCTGGAGCAAGAAACCCACCAAGCTAGTTTCCAATCCCAGCAGTGCAAAACCCGTAAACATTCCCACCTGAGCACTGCCCTGCCTGCATCGAAAAATCAAACACCAAATCGCACTCGAAGCACAAAACTGTACAAACCCACAACGCAAAACCTTCAAAAATTGAAAACCCACGAACCTGAAGAGCGCACCAGGCGAGGTTGAGAAGGCTTGCGACTCACACAAGGGCATAATAGGAAATCATGATGTATGATCTTCCATTGGAGAGCTTGATGACGTTCTTCTTGGCGTGGAACGCTAAGTAAGCCACGAAAACGACTGCGGGAACCACCAGAACGGCGTCGTACCAGATACCATGGCACTCCGGCGAGCTGACGACGGAAAAGCTCTGATCTTGACCGTCGATGATACCTGGGAGGCTCTGATCTCAACATAGGATTATTTAAAGATTCTTAGTCTCCTTACATTTTAATGCTAATTTTTGTGCTAAGATTATAAAAATTATGTCGAAAATATGTGTGGCAGAAAATCTCATTTTTGATAATCTCCTTGACATTTCTTGATGGAAAGAAATAATCTAACTACTTTTTTCAATTAAAAAAACCCATTAATCCTTAATTGTTTTGGTGATTAAATGACATTTGCAGAATGAATATCCTTAAATAATTTATATTTTTAACGATATTCTTATGTAATCTATTATGTAGGGGCAAATGGTGAATTGCTTTGGTACGTCTTGAGTTTAAACATTTTCTCTTCTCATATGATAGATGAATTAGTGTATCTTATCATTTGTTAAAATAAAATTATATACAAGAATACTCAAACTTAGATTAAAAAAGATGACACGTTTTTCTAGCTGACTTGACTACAATGTTTGCTCTTGAGTAACTTATGTGAGATTTGGTTAAAATACTTATATGCATCTAAGATATGTTGAGTAAAATAACGGACACGACGAGTAGATCATCGAGTCTCAAACAAAGAAGCACTTCTACCTACAAACAACACAAAGAGAATTCTAGACCAACTTTCTTGTAGAATTCTTGGAGAAACAATATTTCATTCAACTTAACATCCAAACCAAACGTGAATACTAGTAACAAAGACAACAAATTTTCCATAAAATCACCACCACCACATAACTCTCTCAAGAATTCAAGATGATGATGCATTATATGCATGAGGGGCTAGCCTGTTACGCGGGTGCACCATTAACGGTGCAGCTCTTTGTAGGGTGAGCCCATAGGCCTCGTCCATGTTCAACTTCTCAGGGGTCAACCCATCAGCCAAGGTCCAATCAAAACCATGGACTAGGGTTGCAGTCATCAGAGACACCATCCGCAACCCAAGGCTCATCCCGGCACATATTCTACGCCCAGCCCCAAACGGTATGACCTCAAAGTCATTCCCCCTAACGTCGACAGTCGGCTTCTCGCCGCCCGATAGGAATCTCTCGGGCTTGAACTCGAGTGGTTCCGACCATTGGGCCGGGTCGCGAGATATGGCCCATACATTGACCAAGAGAGTGGCGCCTTTGGGAATATGGAATCCGTTGATTTTGCAACTCTCGGACGCCATTCGAGGAAGAGAGAGCGGGGTGGATGGGTGGAGCCGGAAGGTTTCCTTGATCACGGCTTGGAGGTAGGTCAAGTTGGGCAAGTCCGATTCGGTTACAAGCCGGTCCCGACCCACGACTTGGTCCAGCTCTTGTTGGAGTTGGGCTAGAATTTTGGGGTGGCGAAGGAGTTCTGCTATGGCCCATTCCACTGTGCTTGATGACGTGTCAGTGCCAGCTGTAAACATGTTCTGTGTGCATGAAAATTATTATGGGTTAGTCATTTGGTATTTGGAAGAAATTTTTTATTGTGACGGAAACACAATACAATACATTAAGTGTCATAATACAATAAATTGAACATTCTGTTAAATGTCTAAATAGTATTTTTATACTTTATATACCGAATCAAATTCTCGGCAAAGTTGAAAAATCTACCTGTATTTGATAAGACACCTGAATCAATTTTGCAGAACCAGAACGTGCACATTAATATGCCATAATTATAAAAAGACAGATCCCTTCTTCTTACAAAATTTAATTTTGATCAGCAAATTCATGCCAAGTGTATGAAAAGATTTATGATCATGCGGTGTATCCCGTTAACTACAATTTCATACAGTAAGATACCAGAATATCAACGAGTAACCGGAAAAAAATTCGGATCCAGTGCAAAATGCCAAAAACAGACGAATCCGTATCCTTGCTTGATCTTTTTTGTGAGGATTTTAAATATCTGTAAATCATATCCGTTCATTATATATGGTATGGTCATATATTATTTTAAATATTTTTACTTATAATTAAATAAAAATAAAAACTGATAAAAACTGATCATATAATGTACGATGAACAAACATAATTTACAGATTCTCAAAATTCTTATCAAAATTAAGAGACATCACATGGTCACGTGCTAAACGCTAACGTGGTCCAATTATTTAAATAGCTTTTTGTAGCAGTTTGACAGTTGAGGAGCGGGTGATCCATTAATGACATATTTTAAGGTTTCACGTGGGAGAGGTCACGTGGCCAACTAGAAAAGAAAGGTAAGCTGGAAAAGAAAATTACTTTTCTAACCTATCAAATATATGAAAACAGGAAGAAATAGTAAAAATGTTTTTTTTTTTTTTTGTATTTTGGGGAAATTAGTAAAAATAGTGCATATTAACTTTCTAGCTTGTCAGTCTCCCAAAAAAATTGAAAACTAAATAAGGTAAAAAACTTTACACTCTTTTCTTTTGAGGAAAAAGTAAATTAATTAAGACAAAGAGAAACCTCGAGGGCATCCAAGGTTTTTTCAAGAGGAATGAGGATTCTTTTCGGATTTTTTTTGTGAGGATTTCGAGAATCCTTCAATTATATTCATTCATCGTATATCGTGCGATCGTAAATCATTGTAATTTATATTTAAAATTAAATATAAATAATACTTAATAAAAATAAATTCCATGATATATAATAAATAAAGTTAATTAGAGGATCTCCAAGATTATCACAGAGAGGAGATCCAGATAGAACCCTCATTATTTTACGAGGAAAAAAAAAATTGTTTAGAAAAATAAATTTTTGTAGGTTTTTTTCCGATAAGTAATTTTTTTTGTCGGTTGACATGTCTTGTCAAGTTCAATAATTGAGTTACGAGATAGTGTTTGCAAAAGTCATTTACTGGCCCCCACACACTTTGAGTGCGAAGTAGTTTTTTTTTTTTGTTTTTAGAAAATATATGGAAGGGAGAGAAGTTGGAGGGAAATATGAAAGATAGAGGGAGTGAGAAAGCGTGAGAGTGAAGAGAATTTTATATGTTTATTTAAAAAAATTTGAGATATGTTATGAATATGTGATAAAAAAATTTGTGTCAAAATTACGTATTGCCTGTGATTTTTTTTTTGCGATAAAAAAGTAAATTACCTTTTTACTCTATTTTAATTAACAAAGAGAATGTTGTTGATAGGTAATTTAAATTTAAATGGGTTGATTGTTGCACATCACTTTCTGCACATTTTTTTACAATTAAATTGATCAAATTTAATTTCTAAGGCCAAATTACAAAAATGTATGTGGAAGATAAAAAATCGTTTGAAATAATTACTTCTCTTATTTTTTTAAAAGCATAAATAATATATAGATTAAGATATTATTTCCTTCTGTCACCATATATGAAAGGGTCCAAACAAAAAGGAAGAGAGAGAGAGAGGAGCTACGTACCAATAGCAAAGCTTTAATCTCAGTGTCGGTGAGCTTGGCGCCCTCACCGTCGGCATCCTCCTTGAGCGACAGCAATGTCGTCAGCATGTCCACGTGCTTCCCTCCGCGGCTCCTCTTGTGCTCTTCAACAATGGCGGTCAAGAAGGCATCGAACCTCTTGTGCAGCTTCTTCATCTTTCCCGCCACTCCCTGCAAGTCCAGCCACTCTAGGGAGGGGATGAAGTCGCCGATGTTGAATACTCCGGCCAACACCATCATCTCCACCACCATGGACTTGAACTCATCCGCCTTTGGGTCTTCGCCGCCCTTGCCGTTGCCGAAGAGCCTCCGTCCTACCATCACCCGCCCTAGGGCGTTCACCGTGCACACGTTCAGTAGCTGCGCCAAGTTCACTGGCCTTGACCCTGCACTTGCTAATCCATGTGCAAGCACACCCACCTCCTCCTATAATATTAAACAATTACAAATTGTAATTAAATATCCCAAATGAAAAAATTTCAGAAGTGCTTTTAAATTATTGAAAGCGCTTTTGAGAAAAACACTTAAGATCATAGGGAAAATCAACGTTTTCGATTGCTTTTAAACAATATTTGGTTCGTTTTTCTTTCATTTTTCAGTTTCCGATTGCTTGAAAATTAATAATGAAACGTAGGGAAAATCAACGTAAAAAGGGACGAAGTCAATGAAGACGACGGCCGGATTGCTGACCTGGCGAACATGTTTAAGATCATCCAGAGCCTTGCCTGAGAACAAATGGACGGAGCTGATCTTCCGCAACATCCGCCACCGTGGACCGTACGGCGCGAACACCAAGTCCTGGTAGTTGTAAGCGAGATGCTTGGCGCCGGAGTTGGGTGGCCGGCTCGAGAAATTAGCGTCATGGGTCTTCAGAAACTGTGACGCCACGGAGGCGGAGGCGGCAACAACCACGTCAACAAACCCCAAGCGGAGGTGCATGAGGGGTCCATACTGACGGGCCAAAGCCGCCAGAGAGTGGTGGGGAACGGGGCCTAAGTGGGGCAAGTTCCCTACTACAGGCCAAGGTTTCGGCCCCGGCGGAAGAGGCAGAGAGTGACGGCTCCCGCTGGGGGCAAAGATCCGGTATAAGAAGAAGGCAAAGACGACGGTGAAGACTATGAGAACAAACATGGCGTTTAGATGGTGAGTGGAGTCCAGTGTTTAGTGGTGCTGGATAAAATATATAGGAGGGTAGACAGAGGGAGGGTTCGGGTGCGCTGGGTAGGTTGGGAACGTGTACGATCTGTTGGGTGGGTTAGGTTGAATTTTCACTTATATTTTATCTAGTTTTTAATTTTTGTTTTGGGGATTAGAACTTAGGAATGGTAGATGCACATTTTTTGAAGGTTGGATATGTAAGAAGATGAGATGGGAATTAATTAATATGAATATTATGTGTATATTATTATTTTTGTTTTGGTTTTGACTAGGAATATGCCATGGCTTTTCCAAGTGGTTTTATTTTATTTTATATTTAATCTTTAATTTTTTGTGGTAATGTGACTTTGGGTTTCTTGTGGATTGTTTGTTTTGTGTCATATCTTTTTGTTTGGTGGTGTTTGTTTGGTTTTTTGGGGGGGGGGGGGGGGGGGGGGGGGGGTGGGTGCGTGGGGTGTGTTGGTGTAAATTAAACTTTTATACTCTTGGGAATATTAAGGATTTGGATATGTTGTTTTTAACGATGATCAAGCAATCAATTAATTTTAAGATTTTTTAACTAAAATGGTTTATAAGATTAACATAACTTCTCGCTTTGATCATTAACAATGAAAATCAATAAAAATGGCCATAAATTTGTCTACATAGTAAATCATTTTAATAATTCCGTAAAAAATTTATCAATATCTTTGTTCAGTGGATGTGTTGGTTTGATAAAAATACCTTAAAAGGTGATCACATGGTCATTCACCCCGACAATTTAATGGAGATATTGACAGATTTCTCATAGAATGACCAAAACGATTTACGATGGACAAACTCAAGAACTACTTATATAGATGTTCATGGTTAGAGATCAAAATGACGAGCTATATCAATATTAGCAACCATTTTGGTTAAATAACTTAATTTTAACTATTATATTTCAAATAGTACCAACTTAGTGAAGCGATTGTTGCAGTGTCAGACTAAAAAGTTGGACTAACAATAAATTATTATATTCTAATTTTTTTCTATTAAGAATATCAAAATTAATAGATTAAAGAAAGAGGATATCTTCTTCGTCAAATTGCTGGTGCTCCTCAGCAACTTGGAAGTTACAAAATTTCCCATAACAAAAGGCTTGACCCTGATCTTGAAGATAGACCTCCGCTACCAAAGACCCAATTCCCAAATTTCCCAATATTTTGATTATTACAAATAAAAAATACCCAATCCCCATCCTTCTCGCCCTTAGATTCCTATACCCATGGCCATGTATACGGCTGGAGATAGACATCGACGGCTAAAGGCCGTCGTCGAAGAGCCGAGCTTGATCACGCAAAGAAATCGCGAGACTATAGAATCGATTCGGTTTGAGATTCGCATCGAAGGCGACCGCCAAGAGGAACTCATCAATTAATTTCCCAACGAGTTTGATCTAGCAGAGAGAGAGGTAGAGACAGAGATAGATGAGGACTAAGAAGGAGGCAGCGAGTGAGGAAAGCGAAGAAGAAGGCATATCGTAGTCCTTGGCAATCCCATGGTTCAGCACGGCACTGTTTTGGACAATCTAACGAGAGTCAGAGTCCACATGAGTTTGAGCTAGTCTCATTTAAGTTAGTCCTTAAGCATACCAAACATAGGACAATAATCCTAGTTAGTCCATTACTACCTAAGAAGGTGAAACAAACACACCCTAACTGTGCGGTTCTCGCACTAAAACGGAGTTGCATGACGTGTCATACACTAGAACAAAGTTTCGATATAATTAAGGTAATAAGCTGGTTTACAATCACCCACGTCAAAGAATATGGTGTCCGTTCTTTAGATGCTACCTAAATAAATGATCGTACTGATGTCCCAGCATGGCGACAATGGTAGGCCTGAGTACAGACTTAGGACAAAAGATTAGAAAGCTACATATACATATACATATATATATATATACATACATATTAGCCGATGAGCATACATTTTGTGTGTGTGAACAATTTCATTTTATTTTTTGTTTTTTATTAAGGAGTGTGATTAGTTTTTAAATTTTTTAAAAAAATATGAAAAAATGATGGTAGGACAATTTCTCTTAATAAGTATATATTTTATCTTAATATTACATAATTACTGTTTTGTCTTCCTTATATAAATATTGTGTATCAAAAGAGAGGGTAAAATAGGAAAATAGGGATATGATTGTCATTTTCTCAAAGGATACAAAATTACTATTTTGCCCTCCTTATGGAAGTATTGTGTATCAAAAGTGAGGGCAAAATAAGAAAAAAGGAGCAAAAAGATACACAATTACTATTTTACCCTCTTTATGTAAGTATTGTGTATCAAAAGTGAGAGCAAAATAGGATAAAAAGTGACAAAAAGTTGACAATGAGAGTTCTCTTAATAATAGTATACATATATATATGTATGTATGTATGTACGTACGTATGTATGTGTGCAATTACTTTTGTAATGTGGTTATAGCCTGAACACGTAGAAATGGAACTTGACTTCAACTAGGACGTCCCAATGCAACTATATTTGGATGCCTTCAACCTTAAAGCTGGATCACGTGGATGGAAACAAAATTCATTTGGGCAAGGGCTTCGAAGACGGCTTTGTGTGGACATTGAGTACCAAATTTGATGTCTCTATCGTCTTTGCATTAGATTTGATCACTGAAAAATATGTACCTAATATGACATCCTCTCGTATTGTTCGGTTCTTATGAAGAAAATCACTCTGCCATTGCTCTTCAAAACAAAATTTATTTCTTTTAATTTTATTACGTATATACAGAAACATGCATTCTTAAATTTATACGATGATATATTGTTGATGCATCGTAAAATATTTGTTGATATTATCGACACTTTCGATGAACTTGGTTACGTACAGTGCAGTTAACCTCCATTATATTAAGGTAGTGGACTGCATATAACAGAAAATTTTAGCATGTTCTCCAATGAATCACACACTGAGATCTTAACCGTTAAAACTGAAACTTTTGCAGTTACATCTTGTGTCGAAATTCCGGACGCATAAGCAGGATTTTTAGCCGTTGAATCTTTAGTCAGAAGGCATAATAAGATACGCATAAGCAAGATTTTTAACCGTTAAATCTTTAATCAGGCAGAATGCATAATAAGATACGCCGTAGCATATTAAAAATGACTTTTGATTATACAAAACAACCCAGTACAAAAGTAAGACGAAAAAAAAAAAAACAGAGTTAAAACAGTTGGAACATCATTACAGACACGCCGCAGAAAACAGAAGAGTTTCCTTACAAGCTCACAACCTATTTTACTCAACCATGTCAAGATCTTCATCCATTTCCTCAATCTTCATCTTCTTCACAGCCTGTTCGGCATCAGACCTCGGCCCGTTGGAGTTCGGGATGTGGATCAACACATCCGACTTCTGCCCTGTCGCCGCATCGACAAGCCCTCCGTTCTTCTCAACCCTATACACCAGCCCGCTCCCGGTTGGCGCTGCATCTATGAACACGGTCGAGTTTTCATCTATTTCTTCTCGCACAAGAATTCGCGACAACTCCGTCACCACCTTCTTCTCAAGCCATCTCCGAATTGGTCTGGCACCGTAAACCTGAAGACGAAAAAAGAGTACTTATTTAGTGTTTCATATCACACAGGAGTACGCAGAGAAAAGATTTTTGGATTCGTAAAACCGATACTCACGGGATCATAACTCTCGCCCAGAATGTATTCCAACGCCGCATCGGTGACTGCCATAGCGATGCCCCTCTCAGCCAGTCGGGCTGCAACATCCTTCATTTGCAATCTGGCAACCTTCCTCAGTTGGTCGTGAGAAAGAGGATCGAATACAACAATCTCATCGAGACGATTCAGCAGCTCCGGCCTAAAGTGCTTTCTCACCTATGCAAGAACCATACTAGTTAAGAATTGATAGAATGAAGCGATACACAATCATAATTCAAATTTCGGGTAACCAAAGATGGTACCTCTTGCATAACTTTATCGCGAGCAACCTGCATCGAACACTTGCCCATCAAACCGGCGAGGAGATGTTCTGCACCCAAGTTTGAAGTCATGATGATCACCGTGTTTCTGAAATCAACTGTCCGGCCTTGTCCATCGGTTAGTCTTCCATCATCCAGGACTTGCAGGAGTGTGTTGAAAACAGCGGTGTGAGCCTTCTCCACTTCATCAAACAATACAACACTGTAAGGCCTCCGCCTCACGGCCTCCGTGAGTTGCCCGCCTTCATCGTGACCAATATACCTGTAAAATATGAATGAGTCAGAATTCATAATGCCGCAGCTGAGCTCACAAACATGCTCGAGCGAAGAAATCTATAAATGCAATTACCCAGGGGGAGCGCCAATTAAGCGCGAGACAGAATGTTGTTCCATATACTCGGACATGTAATTCTGACAATCGGATTCTCGTCATCAAAAAGTTGTTCAGCAAGCGCCTTCGCAAGCTCAGTTTTACCGACACCAGTTGGGCCCAAGAAGAGGAATGAACCAGTAGGTTGTTGTGGCCTTCCTAGCCCTGCTCTTGACCTTAAAACTGCCTCGGCGACAGCATCAACCGCCTGGTCTTGCCCCACTACTCTCTTATGCAACCTTTCCGCAAGTCCAATTAACCTTTCTTTGTCATTCTGGCCAAGCCGTGTGACAGGTATGCCAGTCCAACGGCTTACCACCTCTGCAATTTGTTCTGGTCCAACCGTCTCTGTCAAAATCAAGTTTTCGTCGGTACTACCTTCAAGCTTCGCAATGGTGGTTTCCACTTCCGGAATAGTGCCATAACGCAAGTCAGCAGCCCTAGCCAAATCATATATTCTTTTGACCTCTGCTAAAGCTACCAAAGCCTCTTCACGCTTCTGCTTAAGCTTTCGAAGCTCATCAACCCTTTCCTTCTCCTTTCTCTACTTCATCACCAGTGGCTGAAGCTTGTCTCTCAGTTCATCAAGCTCTTTTGTAGTGTATGTGCATGATTACTTTTGTAGTGTGGTTACAGCCTGAACACGTAGAAATGGAACTTGACTTCAACTAGGAAGTCCCAATGCAACTATATTTGGATGCCTTCAACCTTAATGCTGAATCAAGTGGATGGAAACAAAATTCATTTGGGCAGGGCTTCGAATTTGGCCTTGATTCGTGGTTGTGGGCAATGTTTATCGTTGGAGTGGGTCGGATTCACTTCCTACAACTCGTTTTCCATGATGGTTGTGCGCTCCTCGACTTACCCGCGGCTGAGCCGCCTTACTAGGCCACGCCTGTGGCGTCTTTTCGATGCGGGCAACATATTGTCTAGCAGTGGTGTTGCCCTTGATAGGAAGACGAGCTGATTTGTGGTTCTATTCTCGGATTAAATAGTTTTATTGTTTTGTGGTTGCTTCGACAACTTGTTGCGGCCTTCTTGTTTTAGCAATGGTTGTTGTGAGTACCAAATTTGATGTCTCGTATCGTCTTTGTATTAGATTTGATCACCGGAGAATATGTACCTAATATGGCATCCTCTTGTATTGTTCAGTTCTTATGAATGAAGTCATTCTGCCGTTGCTCTTCAAAACAAAATTCATTTGTTTTAATTTTATTAAGTATACATACGAACGTACGTACTTAAATTTATAAGATGATGTATCGTTAATGGATCGTAAGGTATTTGTTGATATTGTCGTATTTTGATGAACTTGATTGCGTAAAGAGCAGGTAACCTCCATTATATTGAGGTATCAATCTTAGTAAGAGAGCAATACAATTTTTATCAAATTTAAGGGCGGAGTAGTTTTGGAGCTGTATAATTTTCATCAAATCACACACAGATTTTAACCGTTGCAACTGAAATTTTAGCAGTTATAAACGAGATTTTAGCCGTTAGATCTTTAATCAGGATACACAATAAGATACACAAGCATATTACAAAGGACTTTTAATTATACAAAGCAACCCCGTACAAGAGAAATAAGACTCAAAAAACACAGTTAAAACAGTTGGAACAGCATTACAGACACGTTGCAGAAAACAGAAGAGTTTCCTTACAAGTTGACAACCTATTTTACTCATCCATGTCAAGATCTTCATCCATTTCCTCAATCTTCATCTTCTTCACAGCCTGATCGACATCACATCCGACTTCTGCCCCATCGCCGCATCCACAAGCCCTCCGTTCTTCTCAACCCTATACACCAGCCCGCTTCCGGTTGGCGCTGTTTCTATGAACACAGTCGAGTTTTCATCTATTTCTTCTCGCACAAGCATCCGCGACAACTCCGTCACCACCTTCTTCTCGAGCCATCTCCGAATTGGTCTGGCACCGTAAACCTGAAGACGAAAAAAGAGTACTTGTTTAGTGTTTCATATCACACAGGAGTACGCAGAGAAAAGATTTTTGGATTCGTAAAACCGATACTCACGGGATCATAACTCTCGCCCAGAATGTATTCCAACGCCGCATCGGTGACTGCCATAGCGATGCCCCTCTCAGCCAGTCGGGCTGCAATATCCTTCATTTGCAATCTGGCAACCTTCCTCAGTTGGTCGTGAGAAAGAGGATCGAATACAACAATCTCATCGAGACGATTCAGCAGCTCCGGCCTAAAGTGCTTTCTCACCTATGCAAAAACCATACTAGTTAAGAATTGATAGAATGAAGCGATACACAATCATAATTCAAATTTCGGGTAACCAAAGATGGTACCTCTTGCATAACTTTATCTCGAGCAACCTGCATCGAACACTTGCCCATCAAACCGGCGAGGAGATGTTCTGCACCCAAGTTTGAAGTCATGATGATCACCGTGTTTCTGAAATCAACTGTCCGGCCTTGTCCATCGGTTAGTCTTCCATCATCCAGGACTTGCAGGAGTGTGTTGAAAACAGCGGTGTGAGCCTTCTCCACTTCATCAAACAATACAACACTGTAAGGCCTCCGCCTCACGGCCTCCGTGAGTTGCCCGCCTTCATCGTGACCAATATACCTGTAAAATATGAATGAGTCAGAATTCATAATGCCGCAGCTGAGCTCACAAACATGCTCGAGCGAAGAAATCTATAAATGCAATTACCCAGGGGGAGCGCCAATTAAGCGCGAGACAGAATGTTGTTCCATATACTCGGACATGTCAATTCTGACAATCAGATTCTCGTCATCAAAAAGTTGTTCAGCAAGCGCCTTCGCAAGCTCAGTTTTACCGACACCAGTTGGGCCCAAGAAGAGGAATGAACCAGTAGGTTGTTGTGGCCTTCCTAGCCCTGCTCTTGACCTTAAAACTGCCTCGGCGACAGCATCAACCGCCTGGTCTTGCCCCACTACTCTCTTATGCAACCTTTCCGCAAGTCCAATTAACCTTTCTTTGTCATTCTGGCCAAGCCGTGTGACAGGTATGCCAGTCCAACGGCTTACCACCTCTGCAATTTGTTCTGGTCCAACCGTCTCTGTCAAAATCAAGTTTTCGTCGGTACTACCTTCAAGCTTCGCAATGATGGTTTCCACTTCCGGAATAGTGCCATAACGCAAGTCAGCAGCCCTAGCCAAATCATATATTCTTTTGACCTCTGCTAAAGCTACCAAAGCCTCTTCACGCTTCTGCTTAAGCTTTCGAAGCTCATCAACCCTTTCCTTCTTCTTTCCGTACTTCATCACCAGTGGTTGAAGCTTGTCTCTCAGTTCATCAAGCTCTTTTCGCACCTGAGAATAAAATGGCAGAACAACGAACATAAGAACAAAGAAAGACCAAGACATTGAATAGCTACATCTGCGACTTCATCAGACAAATATTCTTTAATAAGTTATGGATCAAGTAATCACCTCGACAAGACGAGCTTTGCTAGCTTTGTCATTTTCTCTCTCAAGTGCATGAAGCTCAATTTCCAGCTGCATCCTCTTCCTTTTGAGGTTATTGATTTCTTCAGGTTGGCTGTCAAGTTGGACTCTCACATTCGCACAAGCTTCGTCAACTAGATCAATCGCCTTGTCAGGGAGATGTCGGCCTACAAAACAAAAGGAAAGAGGAAAACTTCAATACCAAGTAATTGTACACAGAACATTCAATTCAACATCGAAAGCTTAAAAATACGTAAACATAGAAAATAGACCACAATTGTTAGCCATTTTTAATTCATACCTGTGATGTATCGACTCGAAAGATGTGCAGCAACAACAAGAGCTTTGTCCAGAATCCAAACACCATGATGACCCTCATACTTCTCTTTCAAACCTCGAAGGATGCTAATTGTATCCGGAACACTAGGCTCCGCCACATAAACCTGCTGGAACCTTCTCTCAAATGCAGCATCCTTCTCTACATATTTTCTGTACTCCTCAAGAGTTGTTGCGCCAATGCACCGAAGTTGCCCCCGTGCGAGCATTGGCTTGAACAGGTTGGCCGCATCCATGGATCCCTCTGTCCTTCCGGCGCCAAGAACAAGGTGAATTTCATCAATAAACAGAATAACCTTCCCCTTAGCCTCTTCCACTTCCTTCAAAACCGCCTTTAACCGCTCCTCAAACTCCCCTTGATGCGTGGCCCCGGCCACCAAAGCTCCCATATCCAATGCAATGAGCCTCACATCAGCCAGATTACTAGAGACATCCCCACCAACTATCCTCTGAGCCAGCCCTTCAACCACAGCAGTCTTCCCAACTCCCGGCTCTCCAATTAGAACAGGGTTGTTCTTAGTCCTCCTCGAAAGAATCGTCTCCACTCTCTTTATCTCCTCGTCACGGCCAATAACCGGGTCAAGTTTCCCAGCCTGATTAACAAGGTCCCGTCCATAAGTCTTCAATGTCTTCAATGTAGTATCCTCAGAATCATCCCCAGAATCACTCTCACTGGTCTCATTGGTCTTGTGGGTGAACTTATCACGGTTCATTTTCCTTCACCAATTAATGATACCTAACAATCACTGCAAACATCATGGGTGAGATAATTTAAAAAAGGGAAACTTGATATATGTTCAATTCCTTAAATCTTATTATTTTATTATCAATAATTATCTCTTAAATGATAAGATTTATTATAAAAATCAAATTTCTTCCTAATTATCTCTTTGATTATTTATTTATTTTGTTCTTTCTTGTTCTTTATCCCGTTTTAAACCCCATTTATAGATTTTAGTTTTTATTTTTATAATCAACCTATATTATATGTTAATTATATTTATCTACCTGTATGACAGTTTCTTTTTATAATCAAGTAAGATTCATGTGTCTTGCTTGCAGATATATTATGTTTTTTTTCTACCTTTTAGTTAAGTTTCATATCTTACTTATAGGTATGATATACATTCATATATTTGTTACTTGAGTTAGGATAGAATGATTTACAGATAGATTTATATCAATATATTATTTTTTTGTTATAAGATATTAATTATATTTTTTGAGGTTGAAAATTCATAATATTAGAAGATTTTAATTGATTTTTAATATTTTTAAAAAATATAAAATGAGCATTAAAAAATAAATACATATTCTTAGGTAATTGAACTCATCCCTAAAAATCATTTATGTTTTTGGATCTGAATCTAAAAGCCCTTTTAAGAAATGCAGTAAAAATTCGAACTTTTTGTATAAGTTCCTTCAGTTTAAACAAAACTTAGAATTATTTGCATCTGGGAAACTTTCAATTCAAATAAAAATTAAAACTCTCCATCTGGGTTTCTTTAATTTCAACTAGAAATTAAAATATTTTATCTGGGTTCTTTTCAATTCAACCCAAGAACACAAAGAACCTTTGATCATACCTTTCCCAATTTACGAAACTCATGAACTTCTTCAATTTTCCATCTTGGTAACATGCAATTCAAATAAAAATTAAAACTTGTTCACCGGGGTTCCTTTCAATTTGATTCAACAAATATCGAAAGGCGAAAACAGAGCGTATAAATAAAACATGCAGTCATCAATCATGTCTCCCCGATTTACGAAATTCTTGAACTTCGTCAATTCTTTTTCCGAGATCGAAAAATGACAGACTTTACTACTTAAATTAATTCGTTCAAAACCCAAAACCCATATGGAAATCAACTCTAAAAACTCAAAGATTCACAGAGAGAGAGAGAGAAGCAAGAGAAATCTTGGACGTACCTTATGAGGAGGAAGCTGAAGCTTTTTTGCAACAATGGCGGGTAAATCCACAACTGCGTTTCAAGAATTTGATATGGTATTTCTTTCGGTTGATCGAATCGTTGTGAGTTTTTTCTAATGGGTGCTTAGGAGAGTGGGTGAGATTTTGAGGATGAACCGACGACACGCTAGCAGCTAGAACATTATTTATATACTAAAACCCGGTGGAAAAGTATACACTGAAAAGTTTTCAACTTTTGATTTTTCTTTTGATTCGTTTATTCAGGGTTTCCAACTTTTGATTTTTCTTTTGTTTTATACTGAAAAGTTTGATTTTGATAGATTCGTAAGTATACAAAAGTTGAATCTTTATTTGGGTGAATTTTTAAACCCAGTTTCGCTTATGGATTTTCATGGCTGGTTAAATTGAATTTGGAGGTTTTTATGTGGTCTCCGATGGAAACAGTTATAGTGTTATAGAAGAGATGCAGGATACGAACAGGGTGGAATGTTTTCTATTGTTATTATTTTTTAAAAATCAATTTGGGGTTTTGTTTGGTTTTGCTAATTATGGGCTGTTGAACCCAGCGATTTGTCTACATATTGAACAAGAGACAATGAAACTGGTATGTTGTTTTTTTTGGGTCTAAAATTGAAGAGTCTTTGCCTTCCATCTGTTTTCTCTTTCTGGAATTTCCTTTCTCAGCGTTTTTCAGGCTTATGGTATATAATTTGTTTTTTATTTTAATTTTTTGGTTCATGATTGGTTTTGCAGGTTTTGTTTGTGTAGAGGAGACGGTAACTTGGCTGGTGCACCGTCTGTTTTCAGTCGAGGGTGAGGTTTAGTTTGTTACGTGGTTAATCTTAAAGTTGTCATCAGTTGTTCGGTCTTTTGGGAGCATCTTTATCTGTTCATTTGTCATGTTTTAATTGGATTAAATTTTAGGTTGTCCAAATTATAAGCTATGTTGTATTCTCATATATCAATTTGGTTGGCTCTTATGTTTATGATGGTTCTTATATAGTAGTTCGATTAAATTTTAGGTTCTCCAAATTATAAGCTGCGTTTTATTTTGATATATCAATTTGGTTGCCTCTTACGTTTATGATGGTTCTGATATAGCAATTTGATTAAATTTTAGGTGGCTAAGAAGTGTTGCACTGCTCCAAATTCCTTTTGTTTAAACCTTCTCAGGTTTTACAAGTTCTTGCTGGTTATTTTTCCGTCTTTTTAGCGTGCGTTTTTAATTATGTTTTTTTTGGGTTGTGTCATTTGATTTAGTTCTTTTTTATTTTCAGCAAGCGGTGATTGTCGTCCTGCACTCTAGCAACCGTAAAGAACACAGCTTTAGGTACACTTACCCTCTGATGAAAATCTCAAGTTTAAGTCTATTGATTTTTAAGTGAAGTGTTTTATCGTTTTGTTGATTTGGCTGGTATGTTTTCATTTGTTTGATTAAAATTTAATTTGGGACATCGGGTATTTCTTGATTTGAATGATTATTAAATATTGTTTCTCCCCCTGTTTATGATATGGATAACTATAACTGGATAATAGTATGAGCTCACGGCTATTCAATTTTTTTTCTGTGTCTTTTTGAACTTTCATAAGTCATTTAATTTTTCTTAATCAATATTTTGTTCAAGTCTTTACTCCTGCATAGTTATCAAATTTTGATTTAAGTTAGCTTATCTTTCCTTATTTATCTGCATTACTTACACAACATAGTATTGTTATATAACTGATGTATGAGAAATTAATATTTTTACTTATTTAGTCATTTATTTTAAGACTTGGTGAGACCAATTTTTTAACTCATACAAGTTATGTTTGGTTTAAGCAGAGATTTAATGGAAGACACAGAGATAACTCCCATCTCTGAGTTACGGCCATATATAAAGGCTGAGAAAATCAAATCTCGCGTTTGTAGAATATGGAAATCAACAATTCCCAGAACTACTAAAAAATGCACATCTCTACACTGCATTTTGCTTGATGAGACGGTGAGAAAATATTGGTTTATTATTTTGATGAAGAATTATAACAAGAATGATTGACTGGTCAATTAATATTTTTGTTTATCATACTTTGTAATACATTCAATAATGAATCTTAACTGTATACAGATAATCATAACAAATTGATATATATTTTGTCATTAATTTTACATCATTATTTAATTGCATATCCTGTAATTTATATAGATTGCAAGTAAACATATGAATTAAATATTTTTAGGTGAACTTCACACTTGGTTAAACTTTTTTACATTTTTTCTGTTTCTTAATTTTTTAAGTGTTGGTTCAGCAGCTGACGTAATTATTTTATCTCTTGATGTGATTGCATCTCTCCATGTTAACAATTTAATATATGCATATTGAAGAATAATATCTATTTTTTTCCATTTATTAATCTCCTTTTTAACTCTGTTCATTTCCCCCCACCCCCCCTCTTTTTAACTTTTTTTTTTTTTTTTTTGGGTTCATTTTATTTGCGTAACCAATTGTAAAGAAACATGCCGGACATTTACTACAAGACTATAGCTTCAAAAATTGAACCTGGGGTTGCTATGAAATCACAAATTTTCGGACCACTAGAATGAAAGGCCAGTACAACGTGGTACCGTATGAGACTCAGCTTATATTCAGTGGTAAAACAAATTTCAAAAAGCTCTCAAATGTGTTTCCGCCTATTCCTCAACACCGGTTTTTCCTACAGGATTACAACACTCTTTATCCCCGCTTGAACAAAGTTGACATTCTTACAGGTGATATTATTATATATGTATCTATATATAGAGATTAAAAACACTGAAGTTTATTTTTACCAAATTATTTTTCACAACATGCTTATATTTACCTTTTAAATTGCAAGATGTCATTGGTCATCTCACTTCAATGCAACATTTAGAGCCAAAACAGATTAATCAAAAGGTAGCATACAAGTGGGATATACACATTCAAAATGTCAGGTTATTCCTTTTTTCTTATCGCTCTCATTATAGATTATCTTCATAATTTGCTTTATATTGAAAAACATCTATATATTTGTTTCTGATATAATATATCTACAGAAGGGAACAACTCACTGTTACACTATGGGGAGACGTTGCTGAAGAATTTTGTTCTTCATCTGTCCAAGCACTGCCTCTCCCAATTGTTGTCGTTTTTACAAGCTTAAAAGTGAAGCTTTATATGGGTAGCATAATTACAAGCAATCTTTTGTAGCTTTATTTATTATTATTTTTTAACACGGCTTTGTGTAAATTGTTCAAATCTTTTCTGAAGACATGATTTTATTATATTCACTTCCTGTGACTTATCATATATCTTTGTTTTATACTTGATTAATTAATTTTCAAATATCTTAATAAACTAATTGTCAATCACTGTTATTAATTAACCTTCTCTTTTATTTTCAGCTTTTTAAAACTTTGTCCATTTTGATTAAAATCATGGTGCAGTAAGTGATTGTATCATATCATTCTGATACTTGGCATGTGCCCGTAAAACCATTTATCAATATTTTCTTTCAACTTTCTTATCATTTTTTTCAATGCACAGATAAAATTGTGATGAACAGTACTGGTTGCCCACTTTTCTTTTTTGATCCGGACATCCCAGAAGTTAATGCATCCAAGTCGGTGTAAGTATTTCTATAGCTTTTAACACAATTAAACTGTTTTAACTTTTGTAAAAGCAAAAGAAGTATTAGTTTCGTAAAATTATTCAAACAGTTATACATTTTCAATCATACCGGTTTGCAAATTGTAATGAGCCTGTGAAAATATTGGCCCCCTCCTCCAGACAAGTAAACGAGGCCGAAATTTTACGCACAGCCAAGATGTTCACAATTGATGAAGTCGCTTTTCTAGATCCTGATTTACACAAGGTATAAAATCTAATTACATGTTTTTAACTCATCTTAAAAACATATGACTGCATTTTTACATTTTTAATAAACATTGTATACGTAATTAGTATTCCTCATACAAAACTATTACAAACTGTTTCTTAGAATGATACGTTTTTCTGTAAAGCGTGTGTCAAGTGTTTTGACACACGTTATCAATGGTGGTATAGTGCGTGTCCCAATTGTGTAAAACAAAAGCATAAAGACTTAATGCTGGACAACTCATCTGCTAAAGCATCCAAACCAAATTTCAAAAAGCCTATTGAGAAAAAGGAAACACTAGAATAGGCTTTTTCTTTTTGAAATTTGTTTTACCACTGAACACACGTTATCAATGGTGGTATAGTGCGTGTCCCATCTGTGTAAAACAAAAGCATAAAGACTTAATGCTGGACAACTCATCTGCTAAAGCATCCAAACCAAATTTCAAAAAGCCCCTAGAATAGGCTTTTTCTTTTTGAAATTTGTTTTACCACTGAACACTTTACACACGTTATCAATGGTGGTATAGTGCGTGTCCCAACTGTGTAAAACAAAAGCATAAAGACTTAATGCTGGACAACTCATCTGCTAAAGCATAAAGACTTAACGCTGGACAAAAAATAAAAGTAATTGGTCAACAAACCAGCATGCATTGCCCCACACCCACAAAAATCAAATAAGATATATTAGAATAAAGAATGTTGCTTCAGATATTTTCTTTCAAGTTCACTGGACAAGCATGTGTGTGTGTGTGTGTGTGTGTGTGTGTGTGAGAGAGAGAGAGAGAGATTTACCTTGTACTTATGGCCTGATTAACCTCGTCTTCATTGTCAGGGTAATGGTTTTCCTCAGATCTCTCAGACCCACTTTCAATGACATTTCGTCTCCGGCTGGTTAACTCTTCTTTTTCATCTGTGTCTGTATATTTTCCTTCACTTTCTTCTCTATGATCACCAATGTCTACTTCTTGGGAACTTTGTTCTCTTTCGCCCTCACTTTCTCCTGGATCAGGATCATCAGCATTACGCTGCTCAACATCACTCTCCACTTCCACCTCCCCCTGACCCTCTACTTCACCTTCACCCTCAGCCTCCACAGCGCCCTCTCCTTCATCCTGAAAACAAAACCATTACAAAGTTGTTTACGAAATCACTCTGCTGGCGGTATAGTTCTCGCAATTACTAAAGGATTATTTTCAACATAAGCACAATCACATTTCATTAAAACAAAATACATGTTTCCCTAATAACTTCGCCACATCATATAAGTGCGACTAATATTAATAGTCAAATACAATCCTTAAATGCTCTTATAATCACGAAATTCCTCGGACGAGACCTTCCACACATTTTCACCTCGAAATTGAACTTCAAAACTAAAGAATGTTAACTAATGAATGTTAAGCTTCTTACGCGTAATTGACATTACAATTATCCACGGATTAACAAGTAATACCATACAACTAATAACTTGTGATCCTGTTAAAATCCAGCTTAAATTCTTTGCTTTCAACTCCTTCTCAATACAACCAACCTCTTTAATCCTTCATCCTTCTACAACAAATACCAAACCTTTACAATTCCCAAACCCTATAAACAACTGCAAGCAAAAAAAAAAAAATCCCCAAGATACGCACTTTCATCCAATCATCCACCGCCATTGACAAAACCACAACCTATATCTTCCTTCAGCTAAGATTAAAGCAAAAACTGAAACCCCAATCATTCCCAAACATGCAATTGGAATCTGAATACAAAGGAAACATGAAATTAGAGGATCATACAGAATTGGGCTGGGGATTGGACTCGTGCTCGGAATCGACCTCTTCCTCTTCCTCTTCGGATTGATCCCCGAACAGGTTCTGCATCATCTGGTGCCGCTTCTCCTCCCCCATCGCTGCTGCTGTGTGTTGCGGTTGGAGCTCTCGGGGATTTTCACTTGGCCGCGGATCAGTTCTGCAGCACCCACTGATTTCGTTGTCTGCGTTTAAACCCAAATTTAATAAAAATCACAATTTTATCTATAAAGTAAAAACTAATTTCCCGTTAAAATAGTAAAATACTGTGTGAGATATTTCTTTTAGACAATTTTCAACCCCTGATTTAAACTAACTCAATCTTTCTCTAATGAAGCTAAAAACAAATTTTGGGTTCAACCCCAAATTTGGTCAAATTTAACTCATACCATAGTTAAAAGGGTTCAACCCCAAATTTGGTCAAATGTAAATCATACCAGAGTTAAAAGGTTGGCGCACCAAAGTTTAGGTTTTAAACTAACCTAATCATTCTTCAATAGTTGGGCATAGAATACGTGTAGGTTATTACCTAAAATTTGGGCAAAACCTAGAATTCAGGCCAAGGTTAAAAGGCTGGCCGACCTTTTGTATGCGAACACACCCAGAAAAGTGGAAGCTGTAAGAAGGTTACTTGCCCAATGCGCAAGACGTGCAAGGGTTGGAAGTGTGGCACGCCCTTGACGAGAATGTCGGCCATCCAAAACAAACCCAACAACTCTATTTGGACCTGGCTATTTTAATTATTGGACTGTGGATTGATCCAACTGTTTAGATTCAAACTTATTTAGCTTTATACTTTTAAAAAACACTAAATTCAATGATTAAGATCGAATATTGATATAATTTTCCGTCAAACTATTTCACATCTGATGGTAAACAGTAGTAGTCAAATCATTCCTAAAGTATCCCAAGCGATGCCCAAATGAAATAAATGAGGAAGAACAAATAGACCACCCCAACGTATGTAGACAATGTTCCTACCAGGAAGACATATCATAGCTCATATCCATTACTTCATTGATGACAACATATGTTGGCAAATCCTCCTGTAACATATCCAACCATTTGAAGAAATAACACCAGTGCATTTGCATCGTACTTTTGAGGTCCATGAAAATAAATGATACATATTTTGTCCTTTATCTAATTTCAGTCAGAAACTTTTTTTCCATAAAAAAATGAAAAGCTATTTTCTGGTAATCATTTTGGAACCAAACTACAATCCATGTCCCCAACAATTAGCGCATTATATCTCTTTCAGCATATGCAAATGAGATTATTCATTAAACCCATAATTAGCTAGACTATGTTATTGTTAATACAACAGCTACCTTAAACTCTAACACCTTCTATTTATAAAACTCTACCACCTTCAATTTATATGCTGTCTTACAGTTGCATCAATTTTATATGGTCTTAGTTGCTACATTAATGGTCTTAGTTGCATCAATTTTATAATGTAGCTGCTGATACACAAAACAAACAAATTATATTTTAAAAAGTCATTCCACCACGTAGAATAATCTCATACCTTTTCTGGACGAGCAGGAGGTGGACGTAGTGGAATCTCCAATGGTACATTTGATTCATGCTGAATGTCATTCGGAAAATCTGTCTCTTCTTCTTCTTCATCAGAGTCACCAAATACATTGCGAACAGCAGAGTGTGCGATGTTAGTATGTTCCTCCTCCTCCTCAGGGGATCTACTGTAAGCAGTCAAGAGAATTGTCCTTATCGTCAGACTAACCATGCTTGCTCCAAACAAGTCTAAGTGCAAAAAGCATACAATCATCTTTATTTTCTTCTCTTTGGGTACAAAAAATAAAAGTAATTGGTCAACAAACCAGCATGCATTGCCCCACACCCACAAAAATCAAATAAGATATATTAGAATAAAGAATGTTGCTTCAGATATTTTCTTTCAAGTTCACTGGACAAGCGTGTGTGTGTGTGTGTGTGTGTGTGTGTGTGTGTGTGTGTGAGAGAGAGAGAGAGAGAGAGAGAGAGAGAGAGAGAGAGAGAGATTTACCTTGTACTTATGGCCTGATTAACCTCGTCTTCATTGTCAGGGTAATGGTTTTCCTCAGATCTCTCAGACCCACTTTCAATGACATTTCGTCTCCGGCTGATTAACTCTTCTTTTTCATCTGTGTCTGTATATTTTCCTTCACTTTCTTCTCTATGATCACCAATGTCTACTTCTTGGGAACTTTGTTCTCTTTCGCCCTCACTTTCTCCTGGATCAGGATCATCAGCATTACGCTGCTCAACATCACTCTCCACTTCCACCTCCCCCTGACCCTCTACTTCACCTTCATCCTCAGCCTCCACAGCGCCCTCTCCTTCATCCTGAAAACAAAACCATTACATACAATCATCTTTATTTTCTTCTCTTTGGGTACAAAAAATAAAAGTAATTGGTCACCAAACCAGCATGCATTGCCCCACACCCACAAAAATCAAATAAGATATAAGGAATTATTATTGGCACTCCAAAAATCTCATTCTACACTCCAAACTTTCTATATTTGAAAAGAAAAATACACACGTGAGGAGTGTAGAATGAGATTTTTGGAATGCCAATAACACTTCCCAAGATATTAAAAATGGCTTTTGATTTTATACACCGCAGCATATCAAAAATGACTTGATTATACAAAGCAACCCAGTACAAAAGAAGACAGACAAAAAAAAAAAAAAAACAGTTAAAACATCATTACAGACACGCTGCAGAAAACAGAAGAGTTTCCTTACAAGCTCACAACCCATTTTACTCAACCATGTCAAGATCTTCATCCATTTCCTCAATCTTCATCTTCTTCACAGCCTGTTCGGCATCAGACCTCGGCCTGTTGGAGTTCGGGATGTGGATCAACACATCCAACTTCTGCCCTGTCGCCGCATCGACAAGCCCTCCGTTCTTCTCAACCCTATACACCAGCCCGCTTCCGGTTGGCGCTGCATCTATGAACACGGTCGAGTTTTCATCTATTTCTTCTCGCACAAGCATCCGCGACAACTCCGTCACCACCTTCTTCTCGAGCCATCTCCGAATAGGTCTGGCACCGTAAACCTGAAGTCGAAAAAAGAGTACTTGTTTAGTGTTTCATATCACACAGGAGTATGCAGAGAAAAGATTTTTGGATTCGTAAAACCGATACTCACGGGATCATAACTCTCGCCCAGAATGTATTCCAACGCTGCATCGGTGACTGCCATAGCAATGCCCCTCTCGGCCAGTCGGGCTGCAACATCTTTCATTTGCAATCTGGCAACCTTCCTCAGTTGGTCGTGAGAAAGAGGATCGAATACAACAATCTCATCGAGACGATTCAGCAGCTCCGGCCTAAAGTGCTTTCTCACCTATGCAAGAACCATACTAGTTAAGAATTGATAGAACGAAGCGATACACAATCATAATTCAAATTTGGGATAACCAAAGATGATACCTCTTGCATAACTTTATCGCGAGCAACCTGCATCGAACACTTGCCCATCAAACCGGAGAGGAGATGTTCTGCACCCAAGTTTGAAGTCATGATGATCACTGTGTTTCTGAAATCAACTGTCCGGCCTTGTCCATCGGTTAGTCTTCCATCATCCAGGACTTGCAGGAGTGTGTTGAAAACAGCGGTGTGAGCCTTCTCCACTTCATCAAACAATACAACGCTGTAAGGCCTCTGCCTCACGGCCTCCGTGAGTTGCCCGCCTTCATCGTGACCAATATACCTGTAAAATATGAATGAGTCAGAATTCATAATGCCGCAGCTGAGCTCACAAACATGCTCGAGCGAAGAAATCTATAAATGCAATTACCCAGGGGGAGCGCCAATTAAGCGCGAGACAGAATGTTGTTCCATATACTCGGACATGTCAATTCTGACAATCAGATTCTCATCATCAAAAAGTTGTTCAGCAAGCGCCTTCGCAAGCTCGGTTTTACCGACACCAGTTGGGCCCAAGAAGAGGAATGAACCAGTAGGTTGTTGTGGCCTTCCTAGCCCTGCTCTTGACCTTAAAACTGCCTCGGCGACAGCATCAACTGCCTGGTCTTGCCCCACTACTCTCTTATGCAACCTTTCCGCAAGTCCAATTAACCTTTCCTTGTCATTCTGCAATTTGTTCTGGTCCAACCGTCTCTGTCAAAATCAAGTTTTCGTCGGTACTACCTTCAAGCTTCGCAATGGTGGTTTCCACTTCCTGAATAGCGCCATAACGCAAGTCAGCAGCCCTAGCCAAATCATATCTTCTTTCGGCCTCTGCTAAAGCTACCAAGAGCTCTTCACGCTTCTGCTTAAGCTTTCGAAGCTCATCAACCCTTTCCTTCTCCTTTCTATACTTCATCACCAGTGGCTGAAGCTTGTCTCTCAGTTCATCAAGCTCCTTATCTCCTCGTCACGGCCAATAACCGGGTCAAGTTTCCCAGCCTGCTCAACAAGGTCCCGTCCATAAGTCTTCAATGCCTGAAATGTAGTATCCCCAGAAGCACTCTCCACCTTCTTCCCTTCCTTCCCGCGAAGCTTTTCGACTTCAGATTTCACTCTGGCCGTAGCAATGCCGGCTTCCTTCAACAAGTCCCCAATCTGGGAATCCTCAAGAAGACCAAGAATCAACTGATCAACGGCCAAGTGTGTGTCCCCTCTTGCCTTCTGCGCTGACTGCGCTCTCCTAATCACTTTGATGAGAGATGAACTGGCTGGGATTTCATCCGGCGGAGGTGACTGAGATGGGAGCTTCTTCAGGGCCTGGTTGAACACCCTCTCCACAGACTTCGGAGCGTCTGCACTGCCACCGGCATTGGCAATGGCTTGGCTCAAAATGCCACTGGGATCAGATACCAATGCGGTTGCAAGATGGAGCGGCGTGAACTGCGCGTGGCCAGCATCCATGGCCAGGCCATGAGCTCCGGCAATAGTCTCATTGGTCTTGTGGGTGAACTTATCAGGGTTCATTTTCCTTCACCAATTAATGATACCTAACAAACACTGCAAACAAGGTGAGATAATTAAAAAAATACAGTAAAAATTCAAACTTATTGTATAATTTCCTTCAGTTTAAACAAAACTTAGAATTTTGCATCTGGGAAACTTCCAATTCAAATAAAAATTAAAAATCTCCATGGGTTTCTTTAATTTCAACTAGAAATAAAAATATTTTATCTGGGTTCTTTTCAATTCAACACAAGAACACAAAGAACCTTTGATCATACCTTTCCCAATTTACGAAACTCATAAACTTCTTAAATATTCCATCTTGGTAACATGCAATTCAAATAAAAATTAAAACTTGTTCACCGAGGTTCCTTTCAATTTGATTCAACAAATATCGAAAGGCGAAAACAGTGCGTATAAATAAAACATACAATCATCCATCATGTCTTCCCAATTTACGAAATTCTTGAACTTCTTCAATTCTTTTTCCGAGATTGAAAAATGACAGAGACTTTACTACTTAAATTAATTCATTCAAAACCCAAAACCCATATGGAAATCAACTCTAAAAACTCAAAGATTCACAGCGAGAGAGAAGCAAGAGAAATCTTGGACGTACCTTGTGAGGAGGAAGCTGAAGCTTTTCTGCAACAGTGGCGGGTAAATCCACAACTGCGTTTCAAGAATTTGATATGGTATTTCCTTCGGTTGATCGAATCGTTGTGAGTTTTTTCTGATGGGTGCTTGGGAGAGTGTGAGTGATATTTTAAGGAGGATGAACCGACGACACGCAAGCAGCTAGAACATACTAGACGAAGCGGGAAGCTTTCGGGGCCTTTTCGTAATTTCAAGAATGTCTTTTCACATTGTAAAGCAACGACGTTATCGGATATAATTTTTAATGAGCACGGAATCCGGATGCGTTCGGCATGTGTCATTTCACAAATATAGAAAATTTTGATTTTAAGCACCCTTTCATCTATACAAAAATTTTAACGAAAAACACATAATACTGTTTATTTTAATAAAAAATTATATTTTTACATTAAAATATCAATCATAGTACTATGTATTTTACCTTTTATTTTGTCATTATCGTTAAAACTCAAAGTTTTCAAACTATTTTTATTAGTTTTCCTTTTATATAATGATTATGGGTTGCAGGTGGCCCTCTACTACAATGGTAAAGAGGAATGGCGCATTTACATGACGGCATGGGTTCGAATTTCATTATTGGCAAATTAATTTCTAACTTAATGATAATATCGCTCGACTTAAAAAAAAATGATAATTATTATGGATTATGTGTTTTGTACATGCTGAATTTTTTTTTATATTACCAGGTAGGTTCCAAATGTATGCTTTGCCATCTATCTTGTTATAATTCTCAGCTTCTTAGAGCATATTCAAAGGAAATATCGAAAAGTTTACATCACCAATAATAGTTAAAAAAGATAATCTACCACTTAGTATTACGGCAAGCCCACTGTAAGGCTTAGTCTTTCTCTCATCCTCTTAATGTAGATACTATCGTTTGTTAAAAAAAAAAAAAAAAAAAAAAAAGACATCCTTAGTGTTTTCAAGCAAAAATGTCAATTCTTATGTAGCATGACGTGTATTAGCCAAATTTATTTTTAGCTGATTAATAAATGCTCTTCATCATTTTTATTATTGTTTGTTGTTAAAAATATTTATTATAATTATGAAAAATAAATAATGTCATAAATAATAGTTTTATTTAACATATCAGATGGAAAACAAACAAAACTTTAAAATATCATAGTGTCATATAGGCTTTCAAATTTAAACATTTATGTTTAAAATATATTAGAGAAAATTGTAGCAATGATCTCTCAATCAAAAATTCATGACCATTGTTTTTTTAACTCATCAAAACGTCTAGTTATGGTCATTTTCATCAACTCCGTCAAAATTCCGTCAAAATGAGTCATGTCGGGAGGATCATTACTAAATTGAATTAAAGTTGAAGGATCATTGTTACAATTTTTCTATTTGATTTTCCATATTTGCCCCTTGTTTCAGCTTCATATGCGAGTCACGTAACTCATTTTGTCGGAAGTTGTAACAGAGTTGATAAAAATGACTATAGTTGCACGTTTAGATGAGTTAAGAAACCAATCATCGTGAAATTTTAGTTGAAAAATCTTTACTTCAATGGGTTAAAACTTTTGTTCGTGTGTTACAGATGAGGTTTTAGTGCGTTATAGATGACATGGTCCGGTGCCCCTTTTTCTCAATAGGCTTGATGGGCAAAAGCTTAATGCAAAAGCACTTTGAAACGTCACGGCCACAATAATTCTACGTTTCTTTCCCATGAAGCAATTTGCTACATACAACAAGATTATTCATTTTCGAGGGGGCAAAACCTGTTTGACAGATCTCCCGAATTCACATCAATTTTGCCAGTGTAGCAAATTACTTGTTGCTATATATACACAAAAACACAAAACAAAGTTCTAACACCATAGCAAACATTTGAAGAAGCATAAACACGACCAGCTGTTATTTTTGGCTCCGAGACCCAGTTGCGACGGGCAATTCATGTCGTCTTTGAATCGATGGCACTTTGGTTTCGTCTCTGATTCATCCACCCGGGATGAACGGGCTTAAGCCTAACCGAGTTGTCTGCAACATAACGTGAGAGAATTAAAGAGCGAAAATCAAAATTCATGACGTCTTAGCGTTGGTAAAGTACTCACCGGAAATCATCCAACCGAAGATTTTAGTCCTCATCACTATCATAAACAACAGCCATTCTGCGATGTGGTGCAGTCTTCCTTGGAGGTGAGTCTTCATCTGACTCGATTGCCTTGCGCTTGTGTCCAGAGTCCTTAACCTTTTGCTTGGGCGCCTACAAATATATCGAGAAACAGGTTTAAAGATGCAAGTATATAAATTGGAGTGGAGTTGACCAAGCCCAGAAAAGGCATACTGATTTCTTGACATAGTAACAACAGATGAACAAAACAAGCATTTTCCCCCCGTTTGAAGAATTAACAGCAAGTAGATTTCCATTTGAAAATACGGAACGGTAATTGTTCTCAGGACTGAGAATATCCACTCACTTGTATGATACAGAAGAAATGCAGTATATGTTTTCAAGAAAATAGCCATGTATTGCCAAGGGAAAAATCCAACTCAGAGGCCAAACTAATGGAGCCATATTCTTGCATATTATATCTTAGTGATATAATCACTCTGCATCGTACCATAAGAATATGCTGACAAAAGTAAGACAAAACGACAAGAAACACTCACATCTATCAGTCTATGGTAACAAGTAACAATATAACAGATCCACATGTTAAAAAACATAAATACAGAAACATTTTCACTGAAAAGAAGAGGGACATACCTCAACCTCCAACTCTGCGGCATCATTAAACTCGGCATCATGATGTTCTTCATCATCTTCTTCTTCCGAATCTTCATACTCTGGCTCTGAATCCTCAGCCGTCTTATGTGGAGGCTCATCATCTTCCCCATCAGTTTCATACTCAGACTCGTCTTTCTCACTATCAGACAAACCCATTGAACGCCGAGATGATTTGGCAGTTGGCAAGGATGACTTGCGAGGGATGTCTTTAGGTCCCTGTGACTAAAACTCCAGGTGTTAGTACTTCTGCCAGAAAAGATGCAATATAACTTATATATGGAAAATGTAATAATCAAGTTGTAGGACCTTCTTAGCATTCAAAATGGGTTTCTCTCTTCGCGCTTCCATTTCAAAATCCTCCTCCATATGGCGGCGAGAATGACGAGACTCATGATAATTTGGTTCTTCATCCTGAAAATCAGAAGTGATCAGCTAAGAGACTTAAAAGTAATACATAGGTAATAAATAAAAAATTCCAGCAAGTACTAGAAAATGATTATAGAGGCTTACACATCCATAAAAAGAATAAAAATGAGAACGCTCTTCAAATGTCATAAATAGGTAAGCTATACGTCTTAGCATTTGAATATGCTGTAAAGGTACACAAAACCATGAACATAGAGAGAAAACAAAGGAAATTCCCACCATGCCACCCTCCACCCCTACCCCAATAGCAAGATTGTACCTCATCAAGAGCATCTTCCAAGAAACCAGGTGAAAGTTGGCGCCTCCTGTCCCCAGTTGTTGTATACTTTCGGCTCACCTTCTCCCTCTTCCGATTAAGAAGTGAATTAGCTCTGATATTTTGACTTTCGACCTACAGCACCAAACGAAAAATCAATCTACATATTCCATGAAAAAAAATAAATACAACTAGCTTATGCAACAACTTACCCTTTCTTTCTCCTCCTTTTCTCTCTCAGGATCGATGTCAGTAACACAGTTCTTGACCTTGTATACTTTTTTATGTCGAGAATCAACCAGAGCAGTCAGCAGTCGATGTGAATTTGATGTCAAGGATGATGGCATGAACCTCATCTTCTTCATAACTTTTCCTTGTGATTGGAGGATTCCCTGTAAGAACAACGCCCAGGAATTTATGAACAATTTTTCGTGAAGACCGAGTTTTTCTAGAACAGCAACTTCTTAGTAGTCTAGACAGATGAGAATTCTTTGCAACCACTTTTTTAGCTGCTTTTCCAGATTTATGATGGAAACAGCATCTGTTATGTATATATTCATGGATTGCACAACACCAACAGATTATGGAATTTTACCTTTTCCTGCCTGAGAAATAGGTGCGCTTGATCATGCTGTGCTTCTTGCACAGATATATCTAGAACTTCATTCCCAATCAACAGCTGCAAACTGCCATCAGACCATCTCACAAAGCGTGTGTTGCTTTCACTCTACAATCATAGGAAATAGAAGTTGAAGCACTGAGTGCATAAATTTGTAAACAGTGCAACATAAAATGGGTATTGTGGTAAAGTTAAAATCTATATTGGGTTTCAAGATAAAAAGAGCACTGGACACCCCAACAACAGATATGACAAAAATAGAAATGTAAAGTTCAAGGAACCGCAAGTCTAAAGAGACAAGTTTTCCTAATCTTGAAAAAAGGAACCCCACCTCCAATAAATAACAAGCCATTTATACATATGTAGTTTTACTTTGGAAAAATGATAGTCAAGTACTCGAATGGATAACCCATTACAACATTGATCCAACTCAGTGTCATGAATAACACTTTTGCAGACGTAGAAAAAAGTACACAAAGTCCACCCACTGCAAATCAATTTCAAATATATGCAATCATGCATCTTTGACACAATAATGATAAGCATAAAGTCTGCAGCAATCCATTGCATTGCACACACGCACATGTATAACAGAATATAATAGAGATGATTACTTACAGTTGTTGTGCCATCTGGATTTCTAACCCTCCTCCAGCGCACAATATTGTTCTCCAAACGTATACGCTTCTTAGATCCTGATTCATCTGTCACAAATGTATCTTCTTCCACATGTGTTTGGATCAAACGGTTTGGGGTCGATGCCCATGATATTTGAAACTTTGATCATGTTCATCTACATGAGGACAAAATTTGAATATTGATATAATTTTCCGTCTAACTATTTCACATCTGATGGTAAACAGTAGCAGTCAAATCATTCCTAAAGTATCCCAAATGATGCCCAAATGAAATAAATGAGGAAGAATAAATAGACCATCCCAACGTATGTAGACAATGTTTCTACCAGGAAGACATATCATAGCTCATATCCATTACTTCATTGATGACAACATATGTTGGCAAATCCTCCTGTAGCATATCCAACCATTTGAAGAAATAACACCAGTGCATTCACATCGTACTTTTGAGGCCCATGAAAATAAAC